GCATCGTTTCCTTTGGACGCGCGATGATCGGCGTCGTGCCGTCTGAATCGGTACACGGTGGCCCACTGGCCGCAAAGTTTCAGTCTCTAACCACAGAGCCGCTTGCCATCGGAGGTATACATAACTGGCCTAGAAGGAATAATCGGGATCCCGCCCCGGCTTCCTGCCACTACGGATTCATTTATTGACAGAACGAATGAAGACACCCCATCACTACCATCTAACCTTTCATGTAGGGAGCAGACTGGCGATGTTGGTGGAGACCTTATAAAGCGGTGTGCTCCTCTTTTCTGGGTTTCTATCCGCGGTCTGGCCGGCATGTCGTTGTTTTACACTAGTGGCTCAGTCGCAGCCCTCCTCTTCCTGGTATTCCTCGCCTGCAGAGCACTCTGGAACCAACGCAGACGACCCGCCCCGTTCCCTCCAGGTCCGCCTGCGGATCCATTGATTGGCAATGTTCGATTTTTCCCTGTCAACGACACGCCCGCAGGTCTCACGAAATTGGCCAGGAAATACGGTACGCCTCTCGTACACCTCTTGCAAGCTAACGACTGATCAGGAGTTCGCAGGTGACGTGATGTACTTCAACATCTTGGGGAAATCGCTCGTCGTTCTTAGCAGCCAGGAAGCCGCATCGGACCTGTTGGAAAAGCGAAGTGCAATATATAGTAGTCGTCCGCGCTCCATCGCTCAAGAGTTGTACGTCTGGTACCGCTTTTAATGTCATTTGACGATACTCATAACGGTATGACAGGATTGGGTGGACAGATATGCTCGGATTCCTGCCTTACGGGGAGCAATTTCACAAGCAGCGCAAGCTTTTCCAACAGGCTTTCACGAAGCAAGGCTGTGTCGTATTCCAGCCGAGTCAGCTGTCTCAGACCCATGTGCTGCTGAAGAAGGTTCTGCAAGACCCAGAGCGTTTCGACGATCACGTGCGACGGTATGAATTCGACGAAGTGAGGCTCATTTATCTGAGGGTCTGACTGTGTATCGCAGATTCTCTACTGCGGTTATCATGGAGATAACGTACGGGTACAAAGTCGCTTCCGATGATGACCCTTACCTCGGTATGATGGAGAGAACAACCAAGATCGTGGAGGAAGCAGGCAATTCTCTGACTATCCTCGATTTCTTCCCTTCACGTGCGCATATTATGTTCACGGTCTGAACGATTCACTGACAGTCCGCAGTCAGCTACCTGCCTAGCTGGTTTCCAGGAAACTGGTTCGGCCACATTGCAAAAGGTTCGCCCTCCTTGAAACAACCTACCGTTTGCCCCTCATGTGCATCCACCAGACGGACCGCCGTTGATGCGGCAAATGAAGGAAATGCCATTTGAGTGGGTGCGCCAACAGATGGCAAGTGTCTTCTTGATTCCGCCGCCCTGCACATCTATATTAAACGGAGCACATAGGTCATTGGAAATGCCACTCCCAGCTTCACATCGATGCACATTGAGGAACTCGAGCGAAATGGAGAAGCAAGCCCCAAGGATTTGGAGACCTTGAAGGTTGCTTCAGCGCAGATGTACACGGCTGGAGCAGAGACAGTCCGTATCTCCGCTGCTCGTATTTCATCTCAGCACTGATCTTGGTTGTAGACATGGTCATCACTCATGTCGATCATTGCGATACTGCTTTTCCATCCCGAGGTTCAGCGTAAGGCGCAGGAAGAGCTGGATAGAGTTGTCGGTGGGGGGAGATTACCTGACTTCGGTGACCGTGAGTCGCTTCCCTACCTCGAGGCCGTCATCCAGGAGACGACAAGGTGGCACCCAACTACCCAGCTCGGTAAGCTTGAGTTTGGTCGATGACCCAGTTAGAATAACTGGATTATGATTTACACCAGGCTTGCCGCATAGTAGCACTGCGGACGACATCTATCGTGGTATGTACATTCCCAAGGATGCCATCGTTCTCTATAACAGCTCGTACGTGTTGCTTCCCTAAAACTCCCATCTGCATGTACTTGACCCATCCTGATCATCTTTTCAACAGCGCGATGTCCAAGGACGACAGGGTGTACAGCAACCCTGACTTATTCCGACCCGAACGCTTCCTCCCCCCTGAGTCAGAGCCGTCATCCGTAAATATCAATTTCGGCTGGGGACGCAGGTGGGTGCTCTCGCATGACATCTGTAAGGGTCGCAAGTTGGTTGACTATTCACTAGGATATGCCCGGGACGGCACCTAGCCGACGCTAGCCTCTGGATTGTCATCGCATCGTTCCTTACCGCCTTCGAGGTTGTACCGGCAAAAGATGGCAAGGGACAAGACATCATCCCTGAGCTCAATTGGCTCCCCGGACTGGCAAGGTCAGTATCTTTCTACTGTTGACTCACGTTCGAGGATGAGTACTTACCCGTGGACAGCCATCCTGCGCCATACCCGCGCGTGATACGACCACGCTCGAGCAATGCGGCACAGCTGGTCGCTCGTCTCTGATTGTGCGTCAAGTAAGCACACTATGATCTGGCCCAACGCGCGAAAAACAAATGCCCCCTCGTACTTGAATATTCCGGGGAGATGAGCAGTGCAACGACCTAGTAATCGCGTATCCCGGACAGGGTATTCCTGCTCTTGCGTGTCCCCGTGTTCAGAGGGAGAGCTGGTCTTAGTATATGCACAGACGACAGTCCGTATATACTGTCTTTGTTAAACGTAATTTCCTGCTTGGCGAGCTGGCTAGTGCGCGGAGCGAGTTGATCGTAACTCTGAGTCTGGCGTGTGAGGAGTCCCACCTTGAACTGAGCTACCGACTTTGTACCTGTTGGACTTCATCTCCATCCTAAGAAAATCGAATGTATCCTCCATGAGCACGCGGAAACCGCTTTTTATCGGCCTCCTTGCCAATTCTGTGTGAGAAATGTTACGCAAAGTCGCACGAGGTTCTGATCAATGAACGAGGACATCGTACCCGAACAAGGCTCCGCCGTTCCGGCCTCATGCACATGGGACATGTCTGTCGTAAGTTAATTAGCTTCTCTCGCCTAATGGCAGTGGGAGACTATATTGGTCAAGGTGCCGAGGATGCGCGCCTGTCGCGACCTGTCACATTTTTGTGTCCATATCAAAGCTCGCTTCAGCGAGCTGTCACTCAGGGTACCCAAGTATCGCCCGTCGTCCATCGATTCTTCCTGCATTGTTTTCCATAAACACGCGTTGCCGATGAACTTTGCCATTTTCTGTCGTTCTGGCTGAGCCAGCAGGCATTGATATCGGCTCGTGGTCTCAGCCGCAGAACTACTCACTCCCGGGGAGAAGAGTCCGCGATTGGCTTAGAAGGAGCAGTCAGGGTCCCGCTCTGGCTTCCTTCCCAATATGAACTCGTTTTCCGATAGAACGAGTCCAGACTCCCGCCACTATCTAACTTTTCATGGGAGGGTGGACTGGCGGCGGCCTAAGCGATGACCTCATATAGCGGCGGACACGTTATATGATGTACACAGTACGTTCCTCTTTTCTGAGTTCCTACTCGCAGTTCTAGTCTTGCTAGAATGTCATACAGCTTGGTCGTCGCTTTGCTCATCCCGGTGCTCCTCGTTTGTCGAGCACTTTGGAATCAGCACAGACGACCTGCCCCGTTTCCTCCAGGTCCGCCCGCAGATCCGCTGATTGGCAATGTTCGAACCTTCCCTATCCACAACACGCCCATGGGTCTTATGGAACTGTCCAGGAAATATGGTGCGTTCGGGCTCATACGCGTCTCATAGACCGATGGCTTACTGGACATTGTAGGCGATGTGATGTATTTCGACATCTTAGGAAAACCTCTTGTTGTTCTCAGCAGTCAAAAAGCCGCGTCCGAATTGCTAGAGAAGCGCAGTGCAATATATAGCAGCCGTCCACGCTCCATCGTACATGAGATGTATGTCTCATGTCACATTTAGTAATCTTTAGCTATCCTCACGATAGGTGTGACAGGGTTGGATGGGCTGACATGCTTGGGTTCTTGCCGTACGGAGAGCAGTTCCACAGGCAGCGCAAGGTCTTTCAGCAGGCTCTCGCGAAGCAGAGCTGTGTAGCATTTCGCCCAAGTCAGCTGTCTCAAACCCACATGCTTCTGAAGAAGATTCTGCAAGACTCAGAGTGTTATGAAGAGCATTTGCGGCGGTATGGTCTCAACGAAGTGGAGCTCGTTCATCTGGGATTCTAACTATGCATCGTAGATTTTCCACTGCGGTCATCATGGAGATAACATACGGACACAAGGTAGCCTCCGATGACGACCCTTACATTGACATCGCAGAGGGAACGAACAAGATCATCGTAGAAGCAGGACATTCCCTAGCTATCATTGACTTCTTTCCTTGGCGTGCGCATGCTCGTAGCTATGATTTCTACAGTTCATTGACATTTCGCAGTCAGGTACTTGCCGAGTTGGTTCCCTGGAAACTGGTTCGGCCGTCTCGCCAAAGGTATATAGTCTCCTTGCAACGATCCATCGCTTTGCCCCTAATGTACATTCTATCAGATTCAGCGTCGTTTGTTGAAAACATGCGGGACATGCCTTTCGAGCAAGTGCGCCGGCAGATGGCACGTGTCTCGATATGTCATCTCACGCGGTTATTGAGTGCAATGCATAGGCCGCTGGCAATGCTTCGCTGAGTTTTACGTCGATGCAGATTGAAGAGCTCGAACAAAATGGGGGACTAAATCCTGAAGATTTGCAGACCTTGAAGGTTGCCGCATCGCAGATGTACGCGGCTGGCGCAGAGACAGTGCGTATCCTCTTCTGCCCATAACTTATCCTAGCACTGATTTCGGTTAAGACGTGGTCTACAATCTTGATCGTCATCGCAGCGCTTCTTACCAACCCTAAGGCCCAGCGCAAGGCGCAGAATGAGCTGGATAGCGTTCTCGGCGGGAAGAGACTACCTGAGTTTGAGGATCGTAGCTCGCTTCCTTATCTCGAGGCCGTCATTCAGGAGACGATGAGGTGGCATCCGACAGCACCGCTAGGTATACTCCAGTTTGCTCAATGATCTCATCAGAATAGCTGAATTATGGTTCGCGCTAGGTTTCCCGCACAGCAGCACCGCAGAAGACATCTATCGCGGCATGTACATTCCCAAGGGCACCACTGTCCTTGCCAACAGCATGTGTGTCTACCAGCACTGATATGTTCATCTTCGTGGATATGTCTCACTGTAGCTGCCTTTTTAACAGCGCAATGTCTATGGACGACAAAGTGTACAACAATCCCACTGAGTTCCGACCGGAACGCTTCCTCTCGCCTGAGTCTGAACCTCCGCTCGTGGGCATTGATTTTGGCTGGGGACGCAGGTATGCGCTCTTACACGGCATCTCTTGAGGGCTGCACGTTGCGGGTCAGCTGACTGTTCGTTAGGATATGCCCGGGACGACATCTAGCCGACCCTAGCGTTTGGATCGTCATTGCGTCGTTCCTCGCCGTCTTCGAGGTCGTGCCCATAAAAGATGACAAGGGACAAGACATCATACCCGAGTTCAAGTGGCTTTCTGGTATTTCGAGGTCAGTGTTTTGTTACTGCCAGTGTCCAAGATGAGTGCTCAGTCGTGGTTAGTCATCCTGCGCCGTTCCCCTGCGTGATACGCCCGCGTTCGGGTGATGCGGTGCAATTGGTCGCTCGGCTCTGACCGTGCGTCGGATGAGTAAACTGAGCAAACTGCCGAATTGTCCTCTTTCCGCGCTTTGGCAATTGAAGGGGCGAGCAGCGCAGAGGCCTCAATCCTGCGTTGCCGCTCCTGCGTATCCTCATGCCCGGAGAGGACTACTCCCGATATATGCAGACTTCAATCTTTACATATCATCTTCAATTGCTGAGCATCACTTCCTGCCCGTCAGATTGACCAGTGGCTGGTGCGCGAAACAAACGAGTTTACGTATCGTGAGCCGCGGCTTCTCTACGTGCCGTTGGATTGGTACTGCGGTCACTCAAGTATCCACGTTCAAGGTCAAGGTTGCGTTGGCTTCACCATTTTGTGCCACGGGCCACACAGGCCATCGCATCCATAGCTATGTCACCAAGGCAGAGCAGGAAATACCAGTAGAGTTTTAGCTGACTTGAACCGACCTCAATTTGTTCTTTAATAGATTATATCTGCATGCTCGTTTGTCAGTTGAGCTTATCCGTAAGTGCGCAGAGTTTTAAAGTAGCAGTGAGCGTGTCTCGCCAAACCCCCATGAAAATCCGTCTCAAACCCCATACACGGTCCTGATGCAGTTTTTTTCTTAAAACTCAGGCAAAAGCGGCTAAACAAGGCCCAGTTATTCCTCGATTCTACGCCGATGCAAACTGAGGAGAAACTGGTGCAAAATCAGCCAAAATCATGGTCTAAAACACAGTAAAACTGGCGGAAAACTCAGTTTTGCCTTCGGGTTTTTTCAGGTGAAAACCGAAGAAAGTTGGGGCCTTGTTCAATCAGCTTTTGGCCAATTTTACGCCGGAAAAAAGCGCGCTTAATTACCACCCCTCGCTATCGCTGGACGCATTCGCTTGTTCGCAAAGAACGCCCATACGGTCCGCGAGAAATAGAAACCCCCATGGCTCCTTAACCTTGCACACACGAATGAATCAATGATTAATGCGGACACTATATAGCGGAGCCGCGGTATGATGTACATCGCTCGCTCGTTCTTCTCTACCCACAGTCTCGCCAAGATGTCTCGCGTCATCGTCGCGGCTCTACTCCTCCTGCTATTCCTTGCTTGTAGAGCATTCTGGAAGCAGTACAGACGACCTGCCCCGCTTCCACCAGGTCCGCCTCTGGATCCACTGATTGGCAATGTTCGGGCCTTCCCCTCCCGCGACACGCCCCTGGGTCTTATGGAACTGGCCAGAAAATATGGTACGTCTTCCGTACGCCGCCTGTAGGCTGACGGTCCATTGAATGTCGCAGGCGATGTAATGTACTTCAACATCTTGGGAAAGCCCCTCGTCGTTCTCAGCAGCCAAGAAGCTGCGTCGGATCTTCTGGAGAAGCGGAGTGCAATATATAGCAGCCGCCCACGCTCTGTCATCCACGAGATGTATGCCTCACGTCGCATTCAGGAACATTCGACTGTACTCACGATAACTGTGGCAGGATTGGATGGACAGATATGCTCGGATTCTTGCCGTACGGAGAACGGTTTCACAAGCAGCGCAAGTTCTTCCAACAGGCTTTCACAAGGCAAGGCTGTGTTGTATTCCAGCCCAGTCAGCTGTCACAGGCCCGTGTGCTCCTGAAGAAGGTTTTACACGACCCAGAGCGTTATGAGGATCACGTGCGGCAGTATGGACACCCCACAACGGAGCTTATTTGTCTAAGAGTCTGATCATGTATCACAGATTCTCCACCGCAGTTATCATGGAGATAGCGTACGGGCACAAAGTCACCTCTGATGATGACCCTTACGTGCATATGGCTGAGAGAACGAACAAGATCGTCACGGAAGCAGGCCATGCTCTGTCCATCGTTGACTTCTTCCCCTGGCGTACGCATATTTTTATTTATGATCTAGGCAGTTCGCTGATAGTCCGCAGTCAAATACCTGCCTAGCTGGTTCCCGGGGAACCAGTTTGGCCGGCGCGCAAGAGGTAGGCTATACTCAAAACCATTCGTCATCCTGATCCTCATGTATGTGCCACAAGATGCGGCGCCGTTTATTCGGCACATGCGGAACATGCCCTTCGAGCACGTGCGCCAGCGGATGGCACGTATCTCGCTGAGTCTACCATCCCGTGCAAGTACTGAGTGTGGCGTATAGATTGCTGGCGACGCCGCTCCGAGCTTCGCGTCGATACAGATCGAGGAGCTGGAACGAAGCGGAGGAGTCAGTCCCGAGGATCTGCAGACTTTGAAGGTCGCCTCATCACTAATGTACGTGGCTGGCGCGGAGACGGTGCGTATTTTCCGTTGCCCATGGTTTCTCCTGACACTAATATCAGCCATAGACATGGTCCACAATCTTAAACGTGATTGCGATACTTCTTCTCAACCCTGAGGCCCAGCGCAAGACACAGAACGAACTTGGCGATGTTCTCGACGGAAAAAGGCTACCTGACTTCGATGATCGCGAGTCACTTCCTTATCTCGAGGCCTTCATTCAGGAAACGATAAGATGGCACCCACCTTCCCCGTTCGGTATGCTTCAGCCCAATTGTTCGCATCGCCAGAATAACTAAATTACGGTTCGCCGCAGGTTTGTTACACAGTAGCACCGCGGACGATATCTATCGCGGCATGTACATCCCTAGAGGCACCACTGTCCTGACTAATAACATGTATGTCTCGGCGCGCGGGATGTTCATGTTTACGGACATAACTCACTGTGGATGTCCTTCCCGCAGCGCAATGTCTATGGACGACAAGGTGTACAACAACCCCACGGAGTTCCGACCGGAACGCTTCCTCTCGCCTGAGTCAGAGCCACTTCCCGTGGGCATTGGCTTTGGCTGGGGACGCAGGTACGCGCCCTCGCATGTCTCTCGATGACCGCAGGCTGGTTTACTATTTGCCAGAATATGTCCGGGACGACATCTGGCCGACGCCAGCGTCTGGATCGTCGTCGCATCGTTCCTCGCCGTCTTCGAGGTCGTACCGGCAAAAGATGCCAAGGGACAAGACATCATCCCTGAGCTCGACTGGCTCCCTGGTCTTACGAGGTCGGTGTCCCGTTGCTACTGATACTTAAGGATGGGTACTCAGTCTTCCCCAGCCATCCCGCGCCATTCCCATGCGTGATACGGCCGCGTTCAGACAATGCGGCGCAATTCGTCGCTAAGCTTTAGTCATACGTCGGATGGGCAAGGTGCACAATGCGCCCAGCTGCACAGGCAATAAATCTCCTCTTGTAGGCAATTTAAAGACATGGGCAGTGCGGAAGTCCTAACTGTGTATCCCAGACACACATTAACGAAGATCTTCATCATCAGAATCATACGAGAAGGCTGTACTGCTCGTGTCGGACTTTCTACAGTGGACAGCCGATCGATACGGACCTCTAGCGGTCCAAGACCAATATTAAGGGGGATGATCGGCTTCCGGACCTGTGACGAGCCCGGGATCACGAATTGCGTTTAAGATTCCCTCTTATTTTGTGCATTTACATGGGTTCACATGATCCATGATAGCTACATCTATCCCATACGTCTTGTCCGAATTGAAACCCACCAAATCTTCCATTCGTTTGGGTACCTTGGGACTGTAGGCTCCACGAGCAATCATTATTCATAAATGTTCGGCATCAACACGAACTAAGGAAGACAAGTGGTACACAATGAAATTGCTACACATACATACGGATCCACATTAATACACGATACTTAATCGGCCTGGTTTTCAGAATCAAACAAGTAATTCGCGGCCATCGCCTCGTCCTTGTCGCAAGCAAAGTATGCCTCGATAGCAGCTGCTCGAGAGAAACCAAGATCTTGGAGCTATCAAAGCCTATGAGTGACCACCATTGTGTAACAGCACAGAAAAGAGGACTCACACGCTGGATTGCCGCCTGCTCCTCCTCAGTGACGTGAATGACATGCGCGCCCTCAGGTATGTCGCCGCCACCCTCAAGGTCATCGGGCGTCAAGCCAATCGCCTGGGCGATAGCTTCGGGGTGCTGTGTGAAGAGCTCCGCAAGCTCCGGGTTCGACTGCGCGAGCTGATGGAGCACGGGCTGGATGAGCGCCGGATTCTGCTGCAAGAGCTGGCGGAGGTGCTGGATTTGTGGCTGGCTCTGCAGTTGGCTGATGTCAAGGCCACCACCACCGCCACCGCCACCCCCCGGGAGGCTGAGTCCTGGCTGACCAGGCTGGCGTGCACCGGCGGCACCGGGCTGCTGAGCCTGTTGCTGTTGAGCGAGCTGGAATAAGTTCTGCGGTTGGCCAGCCGCGGGAGGAGCCCGTGGGAGCTGCTCAACAGGGATGGGCACTGGCGCCTGGGCTGCCTGGGCAGGGGCGGGAGCAGAAGCGGGGGTAGCGGGAGCTTGTGCCTGAGGCGCCCGAGTACCTGCGGCAACGTCTTCGAGGTGAGAAGGGATACCCTGCAACATCGTAGTCAGCGCTATCGGTGATACCCGCGAGTGCTGTACTGACATTAAACAAGTACTCTACGGCACGCTCAGGGTTGTTGTAACTTGCTCTCAGAGCGCGCATCGCCTGCTCTCTCTCGAAGCCCATCTCCATCATGTTCTGCACGGCTGTCTGAAGGTCTGCCCCAGTGACGAATGCGTTCTCGTCATTGATAGCGCGGGCGGATTGGGCTGGTGTGGAGACGGGAGCAGCCTGAGCGGGTGTGAGAATTGGGGCATTTGGGGGCTGAGGTGGGGCAGCAGCGGGTATTGATGTTGCGGGAGCGGGAGCGGCGGCTGGTGCAGCGGCAGGTGGGTTACTTGGGGCAGCAGAAGTAGCAGCAGCAGCAGCAGCAGGAGTGGCAGCAGCAGCAGGTTTAGGCTCGGCTTTGGGCTATCGGCCACAAGTCAGAACAATCGCGTAGGTATTTGGTAGAGAGAACATACCTTTGCTACCATAAGCACCAAGAATCCCTTCTCCTTGATGTTGCATGATTCCACAGTTTTATCGTCGCCCAAGACCTGACCTGCGTAAGAGTCAGCACCCAGTGCTTCACCTTGCGATGGCGCGATCCTGACCTGAGTAGATGAGTTTCTGAGTTGCAACAGGATGACCATGTCCCTCCTCAATCTTCTTCTTCAGATCGGCTACAGTTTCCGAAGGTTCAGCATCGAGCTGGATTAGGATGTCAGCACAGTGTATGACCCGCGACTCCACAGACAGCAGGTCTGTGGCCAGACCCACCTGGAAGGTCTTCTGCTGCAAGGTTTTCACGGTGATCTTCATGGCCAAAATTTCCCAAAATGAAAGGAAAAAAAAAAGGAAGATAGAGAGCCTGTGCGAGAGAGTAGACAAAGGCAAAGAACAGGGAGCAGCGCCGCGCGTCGCGAATACTCCAATAGTGAACAGCACGGAGTTTGCCGTTTCCCCACGTGGGTAAATGGGCGCCTCCTTCAACGCCTGCAACTCGAGGCTCCTCCGCCTCAGGACACCTCAGGTTATCTTACTCATCGTCTGCTACGTCCTCCCTATCACCTACAGCGACATGGAGCACGAGAAAGGCGACGACTACATACGTCGTATAGCATTATACATTCGCAACAACGAACAGGGCCTCGCTGCTGCTGGTCTGCAGCCCCGCCGCCGCTCGAAGAACGGCGACCCCGCACCCTCCATATTCAATCCCTTGGGGTTGGTTCGCCTCAGATCCTGCAGCCATACCCGAGAACGTGAAACCAGTTGTCCTCTCATTCGATGTACACCACCTCTACTATCTCCTCATACGCATGGAGGCCGTCGGACTTGACGGGGTCGGAAGCCTTGACGTCAAGGTCGAAAGCGCGTCGCGACCTATGAACTACATCAGCATTCCTGGTACTGACAAATCAGACTCGATGTCGTTCATGTCCCTCGCTTCTACATTCTCTGCCGTCTCCAAGCTCTCTCTGGGTGGTAGCTGGTGGGGCAAGTCTGCGCCGCCCACCGTTGACGGAGAACTCAAGTTCATCTATTCCCGCTTCACCGTGCTTCCGGCTCTCCGCCTTCACGCTCCTGAGCCGAAGCTGATAGCTGAGATGGCCAACGAGCAGCTCGACCGCGCATTGTGCTTGGACGCTTTCAAGATGCTGCAGATCCTGGAGCTTGAGGATGTTGACCCACGCATCATCTTGGGCTGGGACAGGCTTGCGGTAAGCTTGAGGAGCTTATCCATCAGACGAAGCGGTTTGGAAGACATCGGGGATGTGCTAATTGGATCGGTAGCGGATGACCAGGCTCGACGAGAGGGCCGGGCGGTCGTGACGAAGGCAAAGCGTCCGCGAGTCCCACCGTCCCGTCAGGGTTCGTTTCGCGCTACTCGCCTGCCCGCCTCCGTTCCAGAGGACTCTGAGGATGAAAATGAGGTCGTGACCACACCGAAAGTCGAGGAGCCTGATCCCATTGCGGATGAAGTACCTCGAGCTCCCGAACCCCAGCTTCCGCCATTAATGTGGTCGTCCTTGCGGCATCTTTGCTTGGCTGAAAATGCTCTGACATTCATCCCCACCGCTCCACTTGAGCATCTCACTTCGGTGACACACCTCGACCTCTCGTCCAACTTATTGGTGTCGGTCCCTCCGGGTCTTTCGGCCCTGTATAATCTTGTCTCCCTCAACCTCTCGGACAACATGATCGACTCAGTACTTGGTATCTACACCATGCTCGGCCAGGTCCTTTCCCTTATCCTGCTGCGCAATCGTCTGGAATCCATATGCGGACTTGAGCGGCTGAAAGCCTTGGAACGAGCGGATCTACGCCATAACCTGATTGAGGAGAGCGCTGAGATTGGGAGGCTGGCTGCTCTGCCAAATATTGCAGAAGTTTGGGTTGAAGGCAATCCACTGACGGAAATCGAGGAGGGTTACCGCATCCGCTGCTTCGACTTGTTCTGGAAGGAGGGCAGGTCTATCTTGCTCGATGGCACACCACCCAGCTTCTACGAGAAGCGATACCTCACGGAGCGTCCATCTGAACAGATGACTTCTACTCGAACTCCTGCGGCGACAATCAACTCTCCTCCCATCGTCGCCGTGAATGCACATGTCCCTCACATCCGACCTATCACTTCTCCGCCTCCAGGCAGCCCTGGCATGTCCCCTACGACTTCAGCCTCTGCCTCACAGACTGCGTCGCCGCAGCTGGCCGCTCTTGCCGGACGAGGACGGAGGAAGAAGACCAAGCGAATTGTCGATCTCGATGGAGGAAGCGAAGCAAACAGTTCGCGAAGCACCTCTCATGCCCGTATGGGCTCCGATGCACTGCCCCGGCATGCGACCAGCCCGCCAAAGGCTTCTGCTAAGCTGCCTCAGACGGACTCAGAACCAGTCTCTCAGCCAGGGCCGTCTGCCTTCAAGGCTACTGCACAGTCCAGGTCGACCGGCGACTCTGAGCCGGCTGGCCTGTCATCAGGGCCCGTCCCACCGCCCAAATTCGTCTCGCGGCACGCCCGCCGCCAGAGCGAGTTTGCTCCCGCTTCTCCACTTGCTACGTCGCCACCTTCGGAGTCTTCGTCGCTAGTAGACCGCCGTGGGCTTGCGCACAAGCGATCTGCGACAATGACATCAAGGTCGGCGGCTCGGTGTGCGCGTGTATCAGCGACTACGTTCGAGCCGCCGCCCGGTGAGGAGAAGAATAACGGACAGATGAGCGAAGCCGAGGCCTTCCGGGCACGGATTGAGGCTCTGCGGTCAGATATGGGTGACGGCTGGCTGAAGGTGTTCAATCAGTCTCACATGGCATCTCCAACTTCATCTCCTCCCGTTGCGTCTGGATAGGATCTTTTTGTGCAATGTGTAGTAATTATTGGATATAGCCACGGACGGCAACGCGGCTCACATTTGTACTTGGTAGTACAGTATGCTAGATATTCTGGAACTCGGGCTAGGTTGCAAAATGGTTCCGGAAGCGCGGAAGTAGAAGGTGGAGTGTTCGAGGTCCTACCACGGTGATGGGCGTCGAAGAACGGAGAAGGTTTATGCTGTGGTCTGGGGCGCCATTCACATCGCCTCTTCTCTCCGCTGGACCACTTTTCACCTCCCGTCGTTCTTTACTTTCAACACAATCTTTAGCAATGGGTGCCAACCTGTCGAAGGCAATGGGTGAGTCTCAGACGAATTGGCCGTCCGCGACACAGAACGTTGAGGCGACAACCAGGGAAACTCTTTGGGAATAAGGAGATGAGACTGTTGATGTTGGGCCTGGATGCTGCAGGAAAAACCAGTGAGTGACGGCAGCGTCTGCTCGTCGACCCTTGCTGAGACGTTTGCACAGCCATCCTGTACAAGCTGAAGTTGAATCAGTCTGTCACGACAATCCCAACAGGTGTGTCGTCACGTCATACTCGAACTCACCGCCCGCCTCTGACCGTTTTCCTCGTACCTTTCCCCTCTTGCAGTCGGTTTCAATGTCGAGACTGTCACATACAAGAATGTCAGGTTCAACGTTTGGGATGTCGGAGGCCAGGATAAGATTCGACCCTTGTGGAGGCACTATTACACTGGCACCCAGGGTCTCGTATTCGTGGTGGACTCGCAGGATCGCGAGCGGATAGATGAGGCGAAACAAGAGCTCCACCGGATATTGAGCGACAGAGAGATGAAGGAATGTTTGTTGCTGGTCTTCGCGAACAAGCAAGACTTACCCGGAGGTAAGCGGCTGAGACGTTTCCGGAAAGGACTGAAATACATAACCACTCTCCGCAGCCATGTCCCCAGCGGAAGTCACGGAGAAGCTTGGGCTTCACCGTATGCGCGACCGGTCGTGGTACGTCCACCCTAGGTGAGCTTTCGCGTCATCGTGTACAGATGAAAGAGATTGAATGCTGTATGGCTGCAGTTGTGCCACGACCGGTGAAGGCCTGTTCGAGGGTCTCCAATGGCTCTCGCAGAATGTCAAGAAGCGTAACCCATAGGATTTTGAGACTCAAGCGTTGACTTGATTTTCTTTCGATCGCTCTGTTTTTGCTCTCTTATACCCTTCCAGTATATCCGGCGGCATCTCTTTATTATGGCCCTCATGACGCACGCATCGCACGACGGACTGTTGGTCCACATGTCTCATTCCTCTGCTTGTTATCCGGCATCCCTCCTCGCTCTAAGCGTCTAATACAGTACAAGAATTTCTCAATGTTCCGACGGTTATGTACCTGACATACATTTAATTCGATGATGGGTGTCCTCCGTGCCACTCTTTCTTGTACCATGTACTCAGCCTGTCGCCAACGGACAATTTTTCTCTCTTACCCACGTCAGTCTCTGAATTCGAAATGTCGTTACATAAGGCGTCGCGGTGCTCATGATGAGGTGCTTGAGGTTGGCATGTATATGAGGTACCTCCAGGCGGCTTGCCGTCGCTTCCACTATTGCCTCCACGACCATGTCGTCCGCTGTACTGGCCAAGTCTCTTGCACGAAGTTTCACCACTCGTGCCGTCGATGGATTTGTGGGAGCTGTCGGGAACACACCCCTCGTGAGTCTCAGATGCCACCGTCTCGCTCCGTGGTTCTAATTCGAGATAATCAGATCCGACTCACGAAATGGTCTGAAAGGACGGGCTGCAACATCGTTGCAAAAGCTGAGTTTCAGAACCCTGGCGGTAGCGTGAAGGATCGTGCAGCCCTTGGTGTCGTCCAAGACGCAGAGAGGAAGGGTCTGTACGTGCGTCGTGCTCATTGCGCTTGGTGCGACCACTGACACTTTCGTTAGGATTAAGCCTGGAGGCACCGTAATCGAAGGCACTGCAGGGAACACAGGCATCGGCCTCGCACACGTCTGTAGATCTAGGGGCTACAAGTGCGTCATTTTCATGCCCGACACACAAAGCCAGGAGAAGATCGACCTGCTACGCATGCTCGGCGCAGAAGTGTACCCCGTCCCCGCCGTCGCGTACGAAAACCCCGCGAACTACAACCACCAGGCGCGTGACTTTGCGAAGAAGCTCGACAATGCGATCTGGACGGACCAGTTCGACAACACCGCGAATGCAGATGCGCATTACCTCTCGACTGGCCCGGAGATCTGGGAGCAGACAGGCGGGAGCGTTGATGCGTTCGTCTGTGCGACAGGAACAGGCGGCACGCTTGCGGGCACGGGCAAGTTCCTGAAGGAGAAGAGTCAGGGACGGGCGCAGGTCTGGCTTGCGGATCCGCCAGGCTCGGTGCTTCACAGCTATCTCACGAGCGGGGGCAAATTGAAGGAGCGGACCGGCAGTTCTATAACTGAGGGTAAGTTTTCGCGCACATAGCCGTGGTGTTGTGCACTGAATTCCACAACAGGCATCGGCCAGGGACGCGTCACGAACAACCTCGAAACCTTCGTCGGCCACATCGACGGCGCGCTGCACATAGCGGATGAGAAGTCGATTGCGATGGTCTATGATCTTCTCGACACCGAGGGTCTCTACCTTGGGGCGAGCTCAGCATTGAATGTCGTCGCGGCCGTCGAGCTCGCGCAGAAGCTCGGCCCTGGGCACACGGTTGCCACGATCCTCGCGGATGGCGCGTACCGCTACCAAAGCCGGCTCTTTTCGAAAGCGTGGCTCAAAGCAAAGGGTCTCGAGGACGCAATACCCGCGCATTTGAAGAAGTACGCTGTTCTGGATTAGGTGGTAGAGGTGGTACAAGTACATGGACAAAATACATAACCATCGAGAACACAGGGTACAGTGTGCGGCTATAAGATTTCGTCGAGGGTCATGTCGCCGGCCTTGTAGTCGTGCTCCGGCGTCGCTTCCAGGCGCGAGCCTTTCCCGGACGACCTAGCGTTCAAGCTCTGCGTTGTCAGCGGCTTGCGGGCGACCCGAGTCAACGTGGATCTCGGTTTAAAGTCCGCCGGTACAGCGACCGACTTGTACAGTTGCAGCTCACGGATAAGATCGTCGTTTTCGGCTGCAAACGCATCCCGGTCCTTCGTCATCATCAGAAGATCCTGCAACAGAAAAGGTCAATCTTCTAAGCGTCACGATGCCGAAGCCAGGCACGGACCTGCTTTGTGTCGTGAAGTTCACTCCGTATCCTGTCGACATATTGTATGCGTTGTGCGGGATTGTGGTGCCCGAGTATCTCCGCGTTGAATCGGCTCAGCCTCTGCGCCTCATCCTCTGCCAGCGCATTTCTACGGACGAGCGCGTCGACCTCGTCCACGAGTCCGTTGTACGCCTGCTCGTACTTCTCCGCTTCGGCGAGCTCCCTCGACAGCCTAATGCCCTGCTCAATGAAATGACTCTCCGCGTACGGATAGATCCAGACTTACTGGTCAACCTCGGCTGAAAGCGCGTCCTCGGCAGCCTTGCTCTGTTGTAGCGTAGTGGTGAGCCTTTCGCATGCGTCCTTCTCCCGTCTCATTGCCTGTTCGAGCGCTGTCCGTTCCGACCGGGCTTTCTGCAGCTCTGCTTCATGCTTCCGCTTAAGCGACTGCTCGCCTGCACGCGACTGCTCAATCGAACGTGTGGTGTCTGCAAGCTCAAGCTGCAAGTTTCCATGCTCAGCGCGGGCGGCGGAGAGCTGGCGGACGAGTTCAGATTGCTGTTTCTCCGCAGCAGCAGCCTGCTTGAGGTTCGTTTCAGCGTCGTGCCGTGCGCCGTCGAGGTGCTTGAGGAGGAAGACCGAGTGAAGAAAGAGCTCATCGGTGCGCAGACGGTCGAAGTGGGCCCAAACTTCTCTGTCATCGCCCAGCGTAATGCGCAGAAGTAGCTCGGAGTCATAAAAGTCTTTCGCGATGCCTCGGGAGAGGCACTCCGCGCCCCTGTCGTCGTTCACGTCGTCTCGCTCTGAGAAAGCAAACGCAAGCTCGTCAGTGTAGAATGACAGCTCTTCCTCCACCTCCTTTAGCTGATGCGATAAGAAGTCATTCTGTTCCATAGTGTGACGGATGAGCTGCGCCAGCTCCACGACCTGTCCCTCCGCATTTGCAAACTTGCGCTCCAGGCGATTGACTCGGAGCTGCAGGGCCGTCGCATCGCGCTTCACCCTGTCGTGGACGGTCTTTGGCACAGTCGACGAGGCCAGGCGGCCGTACTCCTGCGCAACGCGAGAGAGCGTACGTCGGTGATCCTCGAGTTGTTGCAGGAGTTCGTCCTCATTGCTAGAGGCCTGTGAGCGTAGTGATGCTAGAGAAGATCTCGTCCGGTCTGATTCAGCACGAATTTGTTGTAGTTCGGCCTCGAGAGCTTGCCTCGCAAAGCGTGCTTCCACCAATTCGGCGTCGACTTCGTCCTTGGCATCGCCTAGTTGGGCCTCCAGGGATCCGTTACGCCTCTTCTCGGTTGCAAATGCCTTCTCGAGCTCCTCGATTTGTTTGTCCTTCTCTTGATTCTCCGACCGGCGCCGTAATTCCAGGGCTTGCAGCGCTTTCTTCGCGTCTCCCGCATTCCCCTGCTTGGAAGCGAGCTGGGAGCGTTCATGCTCAGAAACACGAAGCTTTGCGCGGAGCTCCTTGATCTCCGACTGGTCAGAGAGACTGACGTGCCTGAGCCCTTTCAGTCTGACATCGTAGATTTCGTTTTGCTTCTTGAGCTTGCCGATCTGTTCGGTTTGTTCCGCATTCGTCCTTTGTACGAGGCCGAGTTCGGTCTTGATCCGCTCTACTTCTGCTTGAGACTATTTAAAGTTAGGTTGACGACATGTTTGCTCGGCGAAGGGTTACTTACCGCCTTTTTGTTCTCAGCCAGCAATCGTTCCAGCTCTTCGACTTTCCTCTGTAGGACAGCTTGTCTGTCGTTCATAGTCCGAGACACAGCAGGTTTGGTCCCCATAGTCTTATCATCGGTGACGTATGTACCTGGCCCTATAGAGCAAGATCAGGAGACAGTGGCATAGCTCGAAAGACGGTAATGACCTGGTACGTCCGAGGGTTCGTCGTCGTTAAAACGGTCTTGCTTCTCAAGAAAAGCACCACGCTTGTATGCATCATACTCCGGATCTTCACATACAGGCGCAAATGTATAAGATGATGCGTCAAGCCGAGCCGTGTCCTGTAAGAGATGAAGTGCTTACCTTTGACATTGTAAGCATTCGGGCCAGGTACTTCCGGTGCTACAATCACCTTGCGTCAGTAGAGACGAGTCTACAGTTGTCGCAGATGACATACGTTTCACTGCTGGGAATCTGTTTCCTCTTGAGAACATGTCGGGCAAGCTAAAGACAGTCGAACACACGCGACTTGTCGCGCCCGCGATTCGGTCACGTGAAAGGATACAATATCTCGGATCATGCCACGCCACAAAGCTATCCCGTTTTGGAAACAGTTCCATTTTGCTGACTCGACGTGGGACCTCTCGCCGCTTCGTGTTCTTTGGCTAGAGACCCCTCATGCGGATATGAGCCGATTGCGCTTATATGCAGATATACGCTGGCTGCTGCCGAGCATACTGCTCTCTATTAGGCCACCGCTAGTGCCACGTCGACCACCCAGATCCCCCACACATTTTACTGGTACTCCCCGGATTGCTCGATGTCGACACCAGAAAGTAGCTCATCCGGTCCCCAAAAACATTCGCAACCTTATCTTGAAGCTTTGCGTGCGGCTCTATTCTCAGAGCTCCTGCCATGCTCTACTTGAGTCATTCCTGTGAAGAGCGAAAACTTGATCTTATTCTACGGAAAGGACAACGCCGCCCACTCCTCCAGGTAGGGCTCATTCATATAAGTATCAATCTTATCCTGACAATTAAATGCGCTTTGGCACAGCCGCCTCGACTTCTCGTCCGTTTCAGATGAAGACTCTAAATCCCTCTCCGACATCTGCGACGCGACAACGTTTGGGGTCAACGAGGAGAACGTACTGGATACAACCTACAGAAAAGCTGAGAAATTCGATTCCGCATACTTTGCAACCAAGCCCGACCCTTTTAGCTATGGCCTGATGAGCATTTTGCGAGATGTGCTGCGAGAGGGGCATGGAGCTGAACTTTACAAGCTCAATATCTACGGTATGCCTTTGTTCCTCTTGATAGTACCACCATAATTCCGGTTCTGATGCTCTCGTATGGAAGGTCCTGGATCATTCTTCAAAGCACACAAGGATACCCCTCGCGGCGACAACATGTTTGCTTCCCTTGTTGTCATCTACCCAACCGTCCATTAGGGAGGCGCACTTGTCTTTCGCCACGGTGACCTCGAGTACACCTTCGACTCCGCCGCTGCGACTTCCAGAGCTGCCATGCCCTGCGTGGGCTTTGCCGCGTTCTATAGCGATGTAGAACATGAGGTCACCGAGATGCAATCTGGCTACCGGGTGACATTGACCTTCAACCTTTACCTCGAGGATTTGCCGAAGGCAGATATCATGGAGTCTCAGGCGCCTACGAGACTACTTTGGCAGTCGCGTTCAAGAAGCTCCTCGCCGACACCTCTTATCTCAGTAAAGGAGGGAAGATTGGATTCGGACTTCGCCACCAGTATCCCATCTAGACGGAAAGACGCTCCGGCGGCCTGCGGCACCTAGGGAAATCGCTAAAAGGCTCGGACGCAATCCTCATGAAGGTCTGCAAAGTGGTCTCCCTCATGGCGCAGCTCCGGCTCCTGTACCACCTGCCTGAAGGCAGCATTACGCTCTGCGATAATCCTATCCGCAAGGGTCAGGAGCTCTTTGAGGAGGATCTGATCTCCGAGCTGCGACAGCGCGGGGCAAAGTACGTCGAGCTTCCTACGGGCGGGGACTCGGAAGACGAAGACGATTTCGATGTCGTCGATGTGGATTGGGGCGACGGATATCAAGCCCGTCGATGTGAAGGAGACAGAGACCGCGTTCATGGCGTACGGCAACGAGCCTTCCGTAGGCTTCGTCTATAATACAATTTGCCTCATTGTTGAGATTGGCAAAGCGAAAGCTCGCCTTGAATCATGTTCCACATAATGTGCTTTATTTTATTTTATTTTGCCCCTTTGCTTAGGTTACGACGATATCAAAGATGAAAGATGATTTCCGTGCATCGCATGGCGCTTATTCTTGTAGGGCGCGGGGCGCTCGGACGCTATGTTGCCACGCATGGTTCGTCGCTGACCGTGAGGTCCGTGAACGTGTATGCAGATAAGCAGTTTGCACTCCACCTACCGGCGAATACTCACGCATCACTGCCAGTGCGCTAGATGTCGTCAAGTGACCTTCACGTGAAGATCTTCTGGGCCCATGGAGATACGGTCGAGAGCATTTTGGAAGACGAACTACTACGCCATCAAGCAGTCAGCATGTCGAATCTTAGGGTGTGAGAGTCGGATTATCCTCATTGGTTTGCTATCTGAAGATTCCAGGAGTCATCTGAGGTAGGTGACAGCGCGCGCTCTCTTGTCAAGGTACCAGCAGAACTTATCGCCTGAGAAATTCTACTGCGCTTTGCACGTTATAATTGGGTGGCGACAAAGCTCGGCTCTCGTAACAGCTGCACCCAAAAGAGCCTGCTGAATGCCATTCCCAGTCTTCCCAGTCTCTGCCCTAGCGTATCTGTGGGTGGGCCTCGCGTTCGTCTGCTTTTTCGCCGTTCGGTTTAAGAAGCGGCCGCGGTACCCTCCGGGCCCCAAGGGACTTCCCATCGTGGGCAACTTCTTCGACGTACCCAGTGATTATGCTTGGATAACATACGGAGACCTCGGACGGCAATACGGTATGCGTTTGATCATCTTTTGAAAAAGTCTGTTTTAGCTAATAGACTGTCTCTTAGGGTCTGACATTATACACTTGGAGGTGTTTGGATCGCACATCGTAGCGTTGAACAGCGCGAAGGCTGTGAAAGATCTTCTTGAGAAGAGATCTAGCATTTATTCCGATAGGTAGATATGACGTCTGCTGCGAAGTGGCAGTGACACTCAATAGACCTCGCAGAGAGCAGTCGGTTATGCTCAGTGAGCTGTGAGTACTATCACATAATAGAGGGCGATCGCTCTGACCGAGGTATAGAACTGGTTGGGGTCGTAACACCGCCTTCATGAAATATGGCGATGTTTGGAAAGAGCATCGCAGGCTGCTTCACCAATACTTTCGCCCGTTAACTGTGCCGCAGTATCATTCAAGTCAGGCGAAGAACATTCATCGTCTGTTGCAATCGCTACTGGACTCCCCGGAAGAATTTGTAGAGCACATCCAATTGTAAGCTCAGGTTACTCGAGATGCTGGGGCTACTATGTTGATCTTGAAATTGTCTTAGCTTGACAGGAGCCACAATACTCGATGTTGTGTATGCGTTCGACGTGCGGCCAGGTGACCCCATGATTGAACTCGTCGAGAAGGCAGTGCGTACCGCAACGGAAATTATGCATGCAGGTGTATACCTAGGTGTGTATCACAATTCCTTACAGATGCATTGTCCTGATCGACACCTGCAGTGGACGTTTTCCCTATACGTGAGTCAACTTGACGTCGCCTGAGAGATACGCACCTAACATGATGACGAAATAGTAAGGCATCTCCCGTCCTGGTTTCCCGGAGCTGGCTTCAAGCGTCAAGCTGCCGAGTGGAAAACTTTGGTCGACGACATGCATGAGATGCCTTACGGTCAATTTAAGGCATCGATGGTGCGCTCCTGCCATTGTGGTGTGATCCTTAGCTAAAGCCAGCCCGTTGGTATCGCAGAGAAAAGGCCATGCAGAGCCTTGTTTCACGGCCACTTTGCTCTCAGCAGATGAAACGAACGAGGATATGACGCGCTTGGACGAAGTATTTATGAGTGTGACTGGGGCGGCCTACGCAGGTATGCAGGACGCACACCGTGAAGGTCGGCACGCTAATATATTCGTCGCATGCAGGCGGAGCTGATACTGTGTGTAGCACAACACAAAATGTGTGGATTGCGGCTCACGCGATGTAGACTGCGGCGGGCCTCGCGACATTCCTGTTAGCTGTGACCATGTTTCCTCAGACACAAGTCGCAGCTCATGAAGAGCTTGATCGAGTCCTGGGCAGGAGGCGCTTGCCTGAAATTGAAGATCGGGAATCTTTGCCCCACATCACTGCTATCCTTCACGAGGTCATGCGGTTCGTACACTTTTTCTTTCTTTTGAACCGTGTCGCTCATCAAAATACAGCTGGCATCCAACGGCGCCGCTTGGTGGGTGAAGGCTTTCTTCGACTTTGTCCTAATGCTTCACCATACATGAGTAGGAATCCCACATCGGACCACTACTGACGACGACTATCAAGGATATCACATTCCAGCTGGGACCGTGATATTTGGTAATGCCTGGTATGGCTAGCACTGCATCCTCCGAATGTGTCTAATTTGTGTGTCAAGGGCTATACTACACAACGAGGACATTTACCCAGACCCCGAAGCCTACAAGCCAGAACGATACCTCAACGAAGATGGCGGGCTGAGGGATGACATACCCTACCCTATCGAGGCGTTCGGTTACGGTCGGCGAATTTGTCCCGGTCGCCACTTTGCGCACGATATCCTGTGGCAGGCCATTGCAAACATCCTTACCGTCTTCAAGATCGAGCGCGCTCTGGACAATAACGGGAACGAGATTGTACCGAAGGGAGAGACAACTCCCCATTTGATTAGGTGAGCGAATGACGGACGCTTGACTGCAGGCCTGTGTGCTGAGATGAACCACACAGTACGCCGAAACCTTTCAAATGCCGATTCACTCTGCGGTTTCCAGGAGCGGAGACTCTAATTCGTTCAGCTGCGCTGACAGATTGACATATATATTTGGCTATCTGTGATGTTTCACAAGTGTGTATTTCGTCTCTATCCTAGGCAAGATCAATCTGCATATATTATTATCGTCTATTGTCGCCTTCTTCGATGGCAGTATATGACGCTGGATTTGCAACTACTCGGCATGGACGGTAGTACGCCCATGCCGAGTGGCTCCAAATCTAGCTAGTAGCTGACACCAACGCTGTGCTTTGTTATAGTATCTCTGGCCAGATACCTCGAGTGCTTGCCACCAGTGCAATCCAAGTTTTGGAGAAAGTTTGCATGTCACTTGATCAGAACATGACC